ATCGGGGAAGCCTTTACTCCGATCTTTGGCTGCTTCTCTTAATTCGGACTCATTATACATCTGAACATCACAACAGGCACCGTTTTCTAAAATGTAGGGATAATATGAAATTATCGAAAAAAAAGTTTCGTATATGAAGAAATATAAAATATCATGATAACTATTTACAAATGTATATATGTAAATTCTTGAGTGACTTACATGTATGCTAAAATAAATGTCATCAAAGATACCGAGGTTAACTAATTTGCCACGAATGACACGTGTTTCGACTCTTGAGGTTTCGTCAGATTCGTTCACAAAATATATATACACGAGGATCTGTTGCTTCGTTTGAGCTGCTCTTTGATTTCCTTTTGTTTTATGGTTTGGACGCTTTGCTTATTTACGAAGTTGTTATATTAGATTCTGAAACATTATTACAAGCAAGAAAATTTGTAAGTTTTTTCTAACGTTTTAAAGGACTTTTACATAAAATTATATAAATATGTTACCTCCAACATCTGTATTCGTAATGACAGAAAACTGAAAGTTTTTTAAGCCATAACAAAAAACCTATCGGAACCATGTATATTGTTTGGAAACCCGATGCTGGATCCTCTGAAGAATTTCATCGTACATTCTACGAGCATTCTCATAAAGTTCCTGATCTTCTTGTCTAAGTTCAACTAATAGTTGGTCATACAATCCGAACTGCATTCTCCGTGATACCCACGGCTGCTGCCATAGACATCTTCGTTGACGACATCGACGCCTTCTAATGCCTTATAAGTATTGGTGCATGTTAAGGTGAATTTGGTCTACATTTTGTATAGAGCCATGGCGAGAAGATGTGCCCTCCTAACTCTTTCCAAGCAATCCATTATAGCAAGTGCAAAACTGAACATTAAACAACTTTTTATACCATTTTATACATGCACTTGGATATGCAAATTCAAGGACATATGCCACTATAAATGTCAGAGCAAGTTTCGTTGAATGTCAGAATACGTTTTTGATACGCCATAGGTGCGTTTTATACGTTCGCGTAGCACTGTAACTACGCCAGGCGTATGTTACTAACACACCCTGCATACGTTCAAGTAAAAGTCGAACGGTCTTGAGGCGTATACAACGTGCCCTAAACGTGTTTCAAACTTATCTGTAGCGTTTTTCAACGTGCGTGAAGTAAACAGGTATACGCTTGACAAACGCTAGATGAAAATTTTTATGCTGCATAAAAATTTCCTGGAGTTGTAGCTTTCACCATGCGTATACCTTTGCATTTCGACGTACTCCAAACTTATACAACGCGCGTCTAACGATTACCTATCGTTCCTCTTCCTTGCACTTGCGTGCACATAACTTATACGGACTTAGTAAATTTTCTCTGTACGTCTGGTGCACGTCGGTCTATACACCAATGTGTGACGCCGGCATAATAGACTCACCAGTGACGCTGAAATCAAAGAGTTGGAGGACCAAATTAAATACAAAGTTGTCGAGCATTAAAAACCAAAATTTCAAAAGACTTTTATGGAAACACATATGTGCTGATTACTGGGATGGTGAAACCATGGAGGACGAAACGTCCACCAGCAAAGGCATTGACACAATGGTTGTAAAAACTCATTAAAGATACCAGGTTTATATTTTTGAACACCGAGCGCGCGTTTCGTCTACATAAGACTCATCAGTGACGCTCGAATCAAAACAGTTGGAGGGACGAATCACATACAAAGTTAAATAGATATAGGAAGATGTGGTATGAGTGCCAATGAGACAACTCTCCATCCTAGTAACAATTTATAAAAGTAAACCATTATAGGTCAAGGTACGGCCTTCAACACGGAGCATTGGCTCACACCTAACAGCAAGCTATAAAGGGCCCCAAAAATTACTAGTGTAAAATCATTCAAACAGGAAAACCAACGGTCTAATCTATATAAAAACGAGAAACGAGAAACACGTATGAACTACATAAACAGACGACAACTACTGTACATCAGATTCCTGACTTTTGCAGCGGGATTAAACGTTTTAATGGTACCCAACCTTCTCCCTTTTCTGAAACAATAGTATAACATCACAACATAGAAAGACACACTATAAAATATCAATTGGAAGGCTTAACTCAATCAAAAAACGTAAATTAACACACAAGGGACGAATAAAGATCTGTGATACCTGAATGCAAATACATAGTTAATAAAAACTATAAGGGATAAATAATTAAGGTCAAAAGTAAATAAACAGGTTTAAACAAAGTAAAAGTATGATACCACTGTGAAATATTAAACAATTTTTAGAAAATCATCACTTTTGAAAAAACCTGCGTCATATTATACACAGGTAAATGAACATAATTTGGTTGTTAAGTTTACTTCTTCTTCTGTGTGTATAACATCTTCCGTTTAGGAATACCAAGAAATTTCTTTAATATCAATACAACTAATCTAACACTTGGCACATATGGGGTGAATATCAACAATAAAACTATACAATTAGTGCTAGATAAAACTTCCTGTACAGGTCCAAGAACAGTATTTAAGGAGAAATGAAATAATTTTGATGTTCATAGTACGAAGAAGTGAAAATTTGTAGTAATTCCAAATAATCAAAGCTGGTATATAGACAAGATCCATGTTAATATTAAATAACAAAAAAGCATTACATATAGTATCAACAGGTCAAATAAACAAGAACGTACGATTTGAGAGTACTCGCAGTTACTGACAGCTAGTTAAAAGCCAAAACAATTAATAATAAAAAATCATGCATCAGAGACTGAAATCAACTAAAACACATCCCAGGGATTTAGTATTTTAACGCCATGAACAGTCGAAGAAGACATGACTTGTGCAATGCCAAAAATAAATGTATCGACAGGTAGTAGGATAGTTAGGAGTGACTTCTTTATAGATAAAAATAAACGTGTGTGTGTCTCTATACATCCCGTTTGAAAAGAAAATACAAATTTAGTTATGTTTTAATTTGCTAATGACAAAATCGATATTAGTGCCAATGTAAACTATATTCAGAGATCTAATTACAACATTGGTATGAGCACCCTTACTAATAAGTTTGTTTAAAGGTTCGATGAATTTACACGGATCACATAGTGATTTCCGCGCTTTAAGTACAATATTACCATAAAATTTAGAATGTGAAATACCATTTTTAATTAGTTTTCTACAGTGCAGGTACAGCCAAATTTACTAATCAAAGATTTGTATCTATGAAAGAATTTATTAAAAGTTTTAAGTAATTTATGGTAACGAAATCCCTGACTCAATAATTTACCAGTGATGCATTGATTACGTTCGTTAAAATCTATGACATCACTACACACACGGGCATACCGAACGAGTTGGGATATATAAACACCGTATGATGGAGCCAAAGTCACATCGCCGTCTAAAAAAGGAAAATTAACAATAGGGAATGAAAAATCGTCTCTTTTGTCGTAAATTTTAGTATGGAGTTTCACTTTAGAAATTGAAATGTCTAAATCTAGAAAAGGACAACTGCTAAAGAACATTACAAACCTAAAATTAACTTGAAAAATATATGTACCAAATAAGGCTAGGGCAATCTATACCTGAGTGTAGCAAAACTTTATAATTGCGAATACTACTATATCTTATAAACAAACCATTTGCAGAAAAATGAACATGTCAGTGATGTTTCACGTCAACACAAAAGTGCTAACTACTGGGAAAACGATTACCTCGGGGACAAAATGTCCACCAGCAGTGGCATCGACCCAGTGGTTGTAAAAACTCATTAAAAGATACCAGGCTTATGATTTTAGTACTCCAGACGCGCGTTTTGTGGTAGTCTCTTTTTCTATTGTAAAAGTTTAAGAAAAATCCATCGTCGAACATTTAGAGACCCACGCTACCCTTGATATTTGAACATCACTGAACTTATATGGTAATCCGGAATTCTTTTAAAAATACAGCTGCTATTTTACGGAATGATCTACCTGGTGATTTTAGAAAAATTGCTAATATCAGTTAGTTTTATAATATTTTAAAGTCATGATATGGGAATTACTGTTATAAGTGCACAGTTTGTGAAGATTATAAATTTATTTTGTGCATATTTTATACCAATTTAGATCATACATTCTTTCTTTAATCTTTTGTGTCAGGCTTTTTTCTTGCTTTCTAATTATATATACTCTACATTATATTTGCTTTTTGCTTTAAACCCTAGCTTATAATGCTTATGAAATCAGCTTACTATTATCATGCTTAATCTTTCATGGTGCTTCATTTTGTGTGGGTTGTTTTTTTAAAACTTATTGCAAGTTTGTTTGCCAGTTTGTATTGCCGCTTGTATGTCGGTAATATTAATTAATAGAGCTTATCATTGTGCCCTTTTTTGTAAACCATGCCTTCTCTAAATTAAGCTGCTTATTTATTCATCTATTTATTTCATGACCTTTAATTTTTAGTCACGCTTGAGAATTATGCTATAGCACTCAAAAAAATTATTTATAGGGGTGAATCCTTAAGAAGGGGTAACATACCTGTAAAATAATTTGAATATAATTTTTTTCATAAAAACCTTCAAAAATATGTCTTCCTCGCTTCGCTCGTTGGAAATTCATATACGATCCTGTATTGGATAATATGAGGGTCTGGATGCCGGGGAGGGAGTCCTTCATTTCTGCATTCTTTAGTTATTAGGCCATTTTTCTCTATTTTTTATATAATTCCCCGTTATTCACTATTCTTTATATTTTAGCACCTCATTATTCTCGATCTGATCTTTATTTTTTGGGGTCTGTTATTCTCTATTCTGTAAACCCCCATCCTACCCCTCTATAATATGGACAAAAAGATACATTCAACTGTTTTAACTGCCACAATTTTCGTAAGAATAATTAGCTTCTCGCTTATAACGAAAAGGATGAATGATTCTCGACCGTGGGAAAATCATGATTTTTTGGCCAATTAAAATTGATCTAACAAAATGATGCCGCCAAATGCTCTCGCGTGAGTTTGGAGAAATCGCGGGAATTGAAATCATTGATTTTGAAAACAAAGATCTTTGTCTGAAAAAATAAACAAACCATTTACATTTTATTTTGACAAAATCAGCACTTGTCCTATCATGCCACCAAAGAAGAGAGGTGCTGGAGAAACAAATGGATCGGGAAAGAGAAAGAAGAGGAAGAATACTGACGATTTCGAGGAGTTTGATGATGAAGAAGCAGTTGATAATTCTGCGACCGGCGATGCCATAGATCATAAAGACGGCGACACCACTGATTATTCGGATGTCGTGAGTTATGACAATAAACACTACACCCTCATCTTTACAAAACACATCTTGATTTTATGTTATGTTGAAACAAATGATGTTAAAGTTCAAAAAGCCCTCCAAACGAGAACTAGAAATGGGGAAATGATTGGTTTATCTGAATACCAAAACGATGACTAATATATTTTAGGCCAGAATGTGCATTAATGAATTATTTTGTCTGCCTATTTTTTTTAACAAATGAACACTGATTAACCATGTGATATTACAAATAATTTGATTTCTATATTTCAAACATAACAGTGATTTTCAAATTCAATGAGCAAGTAAAAAACCATGCCACTGCTACACATTCATTTTACCAAATACTGTACATATATAATCCAAGAGAATGGCAATATATTCGATATGATGAATTTGAAAGTTAAATATTGACATCAAGTAGTCCGAGATTACTCTGACGTCCAACGGCTGTTTTGCCAGACAAGCTGGGGCCGTGGTCCCACGGCCCAGCTTGTCTGGCAAAACAGCCGTTGGACGTCGGAGTAATCTCGGACTAGACATCAAGCTATTGAAATTTCAACAAAAAAAAGTAGAAAGAGGGTTAGTGTTGGTATGGTTCGTGATACATTTTTTTCCATGTTTTTGAAAGTACATATTCATTGATACAAGATGTTTAATACGTACAAATGTATATATACAAAAAAATCTTTGACTCCAAATGATTTTTGATAAGGTATTGCAGGTATTATTTATAACAATATTTAGGATTTTTAACAAAATAAAATTTTAATTTGTTCTCTATCACTTGTCTATTTTAAATGAGATCACTAGGGCTATGTGATATTACAAAATGTGTTCCTAGTTGCCAATATCTTGTATTAATTTTATATATATATACATGTCCATGATTTTACTCTCATATTTTTTATCAGTAGTTTTACAGTAAGTATAATTAAAATATGTTGGCAATGTGGGAAACATCCATCCATCAACTAACCATATGATGATGGGATCAAGAAGTAACACTCAACATGGTCGACCACCTACTGATAATTCAATCAGACTCATTTGAACTTGCTTATCAAAATTCTTTTCTTTTTTTGCATAATAAATCAGCCCAGTGTCTTTCTAAATCAATAAAATTTCCATCTTGGCATTTTGTTTTTCATGGAAAACATGACTAAGCAACCTTGATATTTTGGTTAAAGAAATGTGAAAAGCTAAAACCTGTCAAACAATAGACCAATCCTAACAACATGAATATTTTCTTGAGATTTTCTTCAAATGCTTTTCACCTTCATATCAGTTTGTCTAGACTAAGTTCAAGAAGATAACAGTGGAGACTAAGGCATGCTGTTTCTGTTGGGGTCTGCAGACTACACGAAATTTGTTGGACCGTCGGACAAATTTGGTGAATAATGGATTGGTCTGGTAAAATTTTGTTGAATTCCAGTCCGAATGTCCGGTGTTGTTTTTTTTTGTGGATTTTTCTAAAAAAAAAACCTACATTTTTCCCAATTTAGGGAGCAAAGTTCCCAAACAACTCAAAATTCATTTTCATCTTTATTATTCATGACAGTGATGTTTATTTTGTTCAACCGCTAGCTTTATGCTTAGAATCGCCAACAAGTAATGTGTAAATCCGAGGAAAAGCATATTTGACTGACAAAAACAACAATGGCTGCCATCAACCGGAAATATAGCCAATACTGGATCAGATTCCGGGAACGGATAAGGCCAATTCCGAGTTTGACAATCAAAATACAATAAATAAATAAAAAAAAATCCAAGTTAATTCCCAAAATACAGCTATGAAATATAAACACTAGAATTGAAAACCAAAAGATATATGAAAAAGAAAGAAGATACAGGAAATATTTTATACAGAAACTCTAAATTATTTTTAGTTCACAAATAATTTTCATGTCAAAATCCAATAAAATGTGACATTACATGTACTTTTCTTTATCACTGAAATGCATTCAAGCAATTATGCACAACTTTCATCAAAATATACACTCTTGACACATGATTTTGTTTAATGTGCATTTTGGAGAGGAGTCATAAGTTTGTTGTATTTTGTCGGATAATATACAATTGGATGTAAAAAAAAATTGTCTGGTAAAATTTCATTCGGTCTGGTAAAGCTAGGTTGTTTACCAGACCTAATGTCCTGTAAAAATAAAATTCATTCGAGTAGTCTGGTTCTGTGGAGTTGACAAATTGATAAAGTTTGTGATTAGTTCAGGTTAAGGGGAACCAATAGTAGTAAGTCAATGGTAATTGGCAAGCAGTTATTTGCACATCTCATTTCCATGGAGATTGTTTTGCCCCACTCCCTCAGTCATGGTGTATTGACTTCTAAAGTTTGCAAAATTTACATGATTAGATTATTTAAGGGGAACCACTAATAGTTTTTTTTTAAGACATTCAATGATATTTGTTATGCACTTGTGATAGCATTGGCACATTGTTTCCATAGAGATAATTGGCCCTGCCCATCAGTCATAGTTCAATTACATTGAAACTTCTGCATCTATGTCACTTTTCTTTTATTGTCGAGCCTTCGACTTTTGTCGAAAAAGCGAGACATAGCGATCCTACATTCCGTCGGTGTCGTCGTCGTCGTTGTCGTCGGCGGCGTCCACAAATATTCACTCTGTGGTTAAAGTTTTTGAAATTTTAATAACTTTCGTAAACTATCCTGGATTTCTACCAAACTTGGACAGAAGCTTGTTTATGTTCATAATATTATATTCAAAAGTAAATTTTGTAAAAAAAAAATTCCATTTTTTCCGTATTTTACTTATAAATGGACTTAGTTTTTCTGCCAGGAAACATTACATTCACTCTGTGGTTAAAGTTTTTGAAATTTTAATAACTTTCTTAAACTATCCTGGATTTCTACCAAAACTTGGACAGAAGCTTGTTTATGATCATAAGATAGTATCCAGAAGTAAATTTTGTAAAAAAAAAATTCCATTTTTTCCGTATTTTACTTATAAATGGACTTAGTTTTTCTGCCAGTTAACATTACATTCACTCTGTGGTTAAAGTTTTTAAAATTTTAATAACTTTCTTAAACTATCCTGGATTTCTACCAAACTTGGAAAGAAGCTTGTTTATGATCATAAGATAGTATCCAGAAGTAAATTTTGTAAAAAAAAAAATTCCATTTTTTCCGTATTTTACTTATAAATGGACTTAGTTTTTCTGCCAGTTAACATTACATTCACTCTGTGGTTAAAGTTTTTAAAATTTTAACAACTTTCTTAAACTATCCTGGATTTGTACCACACTTGGACAGAAGCTTGTTTATGATCAAAAGCTAGTATCTAGAAGGAAATTTTGATAAAATTTTGTTCCATTTTTTCCGTATTTTACTTATAAATGGACTTAGTTTTTCTTCCAGTCAACATTACATACAGTCTGCAGTTTAAGTATTTAAAACATTTATTAGATTCATAAATTATCCTGGATTTTTACCAAACTTGGACAGAAGCTACTTACAATCAAAAGATAGTATAGAGAGGAATATTCTTATTTATTTTTTTCCACATTTTTGTTGAGCCTGCGATTAACAGTAAAAGTAGGCGAGACACTGGGTTCCGCAGAACCCTTACGAATTTTTTTTATATTCTACTCCAATATAAACATGAACCACACTTATTTATTATGTATTATCAAATAAACACAAGAAATTTCATTATCCATATTTTTTTATTTTTATTATTCAGAAACTAGAAGGTTCCATGTTAAGTGGAGAAGTCTTGTTTTGTGGTGGAACCAACTGGGACTTGATAGGAAGAAATAAACTACCAAAGAATGGTAAGTATTTTTTGTGTTGCCCTACAGTGAAGTTGTACTGACATAGGAATCACATCTGTCATCTTTCTTTATCATCACACTTTACTTATTCACAATTCCTAGAAAATGGTTTGACAGAATACAAAGAAACTTACATAAAACATTAAATTGCAATTGTGAACCTGTTGTTTTAATGTTCCATACAGGCCTCTACAATAACTTTTTTTTCAACTTGTCCAGTAGGACAAGTACATACCAAAACTTACTTGTCCGAATGAAATTGTAACTTGTCCAAAAAAATCTTAATAATAACCTTTTTTGCATTTTAAGTTGATTCAAGGAACAAAATGAATTAAAACAATAGAACAGAATTTGATTTATATCTTTTGAAATACTATTCAAAAATATGAGTCGAATACAACTGAATCTAGTCATGTCACAGAACTTAGGTTCTACATGTAGTTCGTCAATGCCAAAGTCTCATCAGATTCTGCACATGAGGCACCGTCTGATAGGGCTGTCAATGTACACTCATTGGATTTGTATCCTGGTTTTTTAAAGTTGAAAAAAGTTTATTCAAATGCAATCAATAAAAAAAAGATGAGGTATGATTGCCAATGAGACAACTCTCTGCAAGAGACCAAATGACACAGAAATTAACAACTATAGGTCACCGTATTGCAAGTATTGTTTTTTTTTCTACATATGATCAAATATGATTTTGTGAATTTAATCGTAAATAATTTTTCATTTTTATCTAAAAAATATTTTTGTTAAAAAAATTACCGGTATGTTATTTATTATAAAAAAACAGAATAAGGTAGGAAAACGAGGTACTGATTTGTCTTGGTCCCGAAATGTCTCCTGCGTTGCCAAACTGTCTATTAATCATGTCTATTAAATATGTCTCCTATGGTGCCAAACTGTCTATTAAACATGTTAAACTTGGAGCCGAATCGTTTCTGAGCTTGTGACGAACTGTCTTGTAAAGTTACCTTATCTCCAAAGCGCATCGCTGATTCGGATCAGTAAGACTGGTTTCCGAGAATAGTATGCATTTTACCTGTTAAAAAGTACCTGACAAAGAACCAGTTTTAAATTATCGATTGCAAGTAAACATGTCTTGTTTTCATCATCTTTTCTTGTTTTTTGTTTATAATTACAAAGTTGGATTAAATTTATTTTCTGCAGAATAATTTTACTTGTCCCGTCGGACAAGCTTGATATAGTTTTTACTTGTCCGACCCTTTTTCCCTCTGGTACCGGACAATCGGACAAGCGTTATTGTCGAGCCCTGCCATATGTGTGATGTTGCAGGGGTGGTAATAATCAACTCTTAACCAAAAACTGGAATATTTATTTTGCTCCAATGGCTTTCCATACTGGAGGTCTGTACTTCAACATTTATAGATTAAATATATACATAGAATTGAGAATGGAAACTGGGAATGTGTCAAAGAGACAACAACCCAAATTAAGAGCAGAAAACAGCCCATATGTATTTAACTGAGTTTTCAAATATTTTTAGACCAAATTTTTTGTTATACAGTAGACTCCGGCAAATCGGATACCCTAAATGTCATAAACAAATATCCCATTACCCAATATATTCAATTAGACGATAAATGTATATTCATTGAATATTCTGCAAATATGAGTTGACCTAATTCTGAGATGTTACCAGCCTTGACCACTGCTATTTCTGATTCTGTGAGGTCTTCCAGTTATATCCAAATTCTCCCATGGCCAATGGCAACGTACTGCCCTAACATATTTTATAAATAAATTCAAACCATTTGAATTTAAAGGGCATCTAATTCACATAACAAAGGAAGACAATGAATAAAGACAACAATTTATTAAGAAATAGTTCCTTTTATTAAGTAAAAACAAAATTATCTTGTCTGCAAGATTGTAATTGCGTAACTTTCGGATCCATTTCCCTGTCAAAAAAACATTGAAAATATCCGATTGTGCATGGTTTTAACAGAATTTCCTGAATATTCTTATCCGATTTGCTGATATATTCTTATAACCAATATTCGATTACACGATAAAATTAACATTAAACATATAGGGAAGGGTTTGGTGTTTTTTAATAATATTACAATAGCCGATATATTCGTTTAGCCGATATCCGATTAGGTGGAGTCTACTGTAGCTAAAGACACAAAAATCTTTTATTTAAATGGATAACTTTAAAAAATACAAATGTAAAAGTACATGGTTGGAAAGAAGTTTAACTACAGGTACCTAGACATTCACATACTTCTGTTAAGAGGCACAGAAATTTACATTGTAAGTAGCAAAAATGATCAATGAGGTCTGGTACCCAAATCTGTTTATTTAAAAATTGAATGCTCCTTTTTATAAATTTATTGGACTGTAAAAGCGTTGATAGAAGCACATTTTGTATGAATCGTGGAATGTGCTTCATATTAAAAATGTTTGCACGATCAACACTTTTACAGCCTATAAAATTAGAAAGAGAAGCATTCAACTCTCATAATTCTATTTTTGCTACAACCATGAAATTTAGAGCTTTATCAAGTTAATTGTTTTTCGATGGAATATTTAACATCGTGTTGGATAGGACGTGCAGTCATAGCTGTTGTATTTTATGCGGAAATATAATATTACATTTGAGTGACTCACGATTGTCAGCCAATCAAAATGACAGATTCTAATGAAACATACATGTAATGTAATTATTTACTATTACCAGTACATACATGTATGTACAATTTAGGCAAGGTCAATTATTTTATTTTTCTCAAGTATTTTATCAGATTTAATCTTTAATTTCAGCCAAAGGAGGTGGCCCTAACCTTTGGTGTCCACATAGATTAGCCAAATTGTTAGGAGTGAAAATTCGAACTGTAGCTTCATCCACTGGTTGTTGTCATTGTGCTGTTATAACAACAGATGGCAAAGTATTGACTTGGGGTAAGTGTTTGATCATGCATGTATTTGCTGTATTTGGCAAAACCTTTCAGAATTTGGTTCCTCAATTCCCTTCAACTCATACTTTATTTGGCCTTTAGATGTTTTGATTCAAGCTTCACTGATGAGTGTATTGAAGACTAAATGCCTATCTGGCTTACAGAGTTATAAGCCCAGTACAAGTGTATCTTTGATCAGTTTTTTTTAATTGACCCCTGAAGGAGTTATTGCCCTTTAAAGACAATTTTACACAATTTGTTTATCATGTTTTCTAACTTTAAAAAATCTCCTCTGAGACTACTGAACCAAATTAAACCAAACTTAAGCTGAATGATTCTTAGGTTATGTAGAATAAAGTTTGTGTTTTATTTTCTGTGGCTGTCATGGCTAAAAATAGAACATAGGGTAAAATGCAGTTTTTATACGACCGCAAAAATTAAAAAATTTTTGGTCGTATATTGGTATGACGTTGGCGTCGTCCGGCTTCATCCGAAGACACATTGGTTTTCGCACTCTAACTTTAGTTTAAGTGAATAGATCTCCATGAAATTTTTCCATAAGGTTCAATACCACGAAAGGAAGGTTGGGATTGATTTTGGGGGTTATGGTACCAACAGTTAAGGAATTAGGGGCCAAAAATAAGCATTTTTGTAACTTCCAGACAATAACTTGTGTGTAAGTGTATGGATCTCTCTGACATTGTACCACAAGGTTCCATATCACAAAGGGAAGGCTGTAATTGATTTTGGGGGTAATTGCCTCAACATTTTAGGAATTAGGGGCCAAAAAAAGGGGCAAAAAACAAGCATTTTTCTAGTTTCATGACAATAACTTGTGTGTAAGTGTTTGGATATTTCTGAAATTGTACTACAAGGTTCCATATCACAAAGGGAAAGCTGGAATTGAGTTTGGGGGTAATTGCGCGAAACGTTTAGGAATTGGGGGCCAAAAATAAGCATTTTTCTAGTTTCCAGACAATAACTTGTGTTCAAGTGTATGGATCTCTCTGAAATTGTACTGCAAGGTACCATACCACAAAGGGAAGGCTGGGATTGAGTTTGGGGGTGATGAATCATAAGGGGGTTCAAAAAATTTGGGGGGGGGGGATTTTTTTTTTTCTTTTTTTTTCTTTTTTTCTTTTAAAATTTTCCATTTTAAGTTGGTTATTTCTGATTTATATTTAAAAGCAAATAATAATGATATGGTAGGAGATACACACCAAACAGGATGTGTAAATTATTATATAATATGTATTGTGCAATATCAAGAAATTTTCAATTCCACAGTATTGCACAATAGCAAGAAATCTTCAATTGCACAGTATTGCGCAATAGCAAGAAATCTTCAATTGCACAGTATTGCGCAATAGCAAGAAATATCCAATAGCACAATATTGCGCAATAGCAAGAAATTGTCAATTGTACAGTATTGCGCAATAGCAAGAAATATTCAATTGCACAGTATTGTGCAAAAGAAGATACTTCGTATAAATTGCTTATTTCTTGATCAATTTCAATGGGGTTTTATTCTTGAATTCTTGGGGTTCTTTAATATGCTGAATCTAACCGTGTATTAAGTTTTTGGATTTTGGGCCCCGTTTTTAAATTGGTCCACATTGAGGTCCAAAGGGTCCAAAATTTAACTTTGTTTGATTTCATCAAAAATTGAATTATTGGGGTTCTTTGATATGCCGAATCTACCCGTGTATTTAGATTCTTAATTTTTGGTTCCGTTTTCAAATTGGTCTACATAAAGGTCCAAAGGGTCCAAAATTAAACTTAGTTTGATTTTAACAAAAATTTAATTTTTAGGGTTCTTTGATATGCTGAATCTAAACATGTATTTTGATTTTTGATTATGGGCCCAGTTTTCAAGTTGGTCCAAATCAGGGTCCAAAATTAAACTTTGTTTGATTTCAACAAAAATTGAATATATTAGGTTCATGGATATGCTGAATCTAACCATGTATTTAGATTTTTGATTTTTGGGCCCGTTATCAACTTTGTCCACATTGAGATCAAAAGGGTCCAAAATTAAACTTTGTTTGATTTCATCAAAAATTGAATTCTTGGGGTTCTTTGATATGCTGAATCTAAACATGTATTTAGATTTTTGATTATGGGCCCAGTTTTCAAGTTGGTCCAAATCAGGGTCCAAAATTAAACTTTGTTTGATTTCAACAAAAATTGAATATATTAGGTTCATGGATATGCTGAATCTAACCATGTATTTAGATTTTTGATTGTTGGGCCCGTTATCAACTTTGTCCACATTGAGATCAAAAGGGTCCAAAATTAAACTTTGTTTGATTTCATCAAAAATTGAATTCTTGGGGTTCTTTGATATGCTGAATCTAACCATGTATTTAGATTTTGGATATTGGACCATAATAGGTGAATGTCCAATTTAAAATTTTTAAGTTCTTAGACCACATTCATTCTGTGTCAGAAACCTATGCTGTGTCAAATATTTAATCACAATCCAAATTCAGAGCTGTATCAAGCTTGAATGTTGTGTCCATACTTGCCCCAACTGTTCAGGGTTCGACCTCTGCGGTCGTATCAAGCTGCGCCCTGCCGAGCATTTTATTGATTTATATCTCAAAAACTAAAGCATTTAGAGCAAATCAGACAAGAAGTTAAAGTATTCATTAGGTCAAGGTCTACCTGCCCTGAAATTATCAGCCAAATCAGGTATCTGATTTTTAGGTTTTACAGTTTTCGGTTATTATCTTGAATATTATTATAGATAAAGATAAACTGTAAACAGCAAAAATGTTCAGCAAAGTAAGATATACAAATAAGTTTGTACGACCAAAATTGTCAATTGACCCCTCAAGGAGTTATTGCCCTTTGAAGACAATTTTTCATAATTTGTTCATCTAGTTGGCTTACTTTAAAAAATCTTCTCCTTTGAAACTGCTGAAGCAATTTCTGCCAAACTTGGGCTGATTGAGTTAAGAGTATCTAGTATATATTTTGTATTTTATTTCCTTGTATGTCAAGAAACATAGTCGCTATGGCTAAAATGGAACATAGGGGTAAAATGCATTTTTTTGCTTTTGAAGAAAATATGACGGATACAAAGAACATTTAAATGGCATTTTTAAGCCACTCATTAATATATATTGAAAAGCAAAAATAATCATTGATGAAAGATTTAAGCAAAAAATTACAGGTGAGCGATTCAGGCTCTTGATGGCCTCTTGTTTTATGGGTGCTTTTGTTTCAAATGTAGAGTACTTTATTCTAGCTATGGTATTGGTGAATGAAGATTTAAAATAATATCCAATAATTTGCTATGCAACAATGATAGCAAAATCAACTTCAACAACTGTTATATTTGTAAAATGTTTTTGAAGAAATCCTCCATCAACATGTTGGATCAGTCAGGAACCCACAAATATACATGTATAGATTTTGTTACCAAATATACACAAGGCAGTCAGACTCCTGGTCTTAAAATCATTACAAGTCCAATGCCAATTTTACCAGCCTCAGGCTTCTGAGGTCTGGTATACTTTTTAAATTTTAATAGTTCTATGTTATTACATTTACTTTGAGACCCAATTAACTTGACTAGAAACAAACTTAAATTAAGAAAATTATATTTTTAAAATACAATGTATTAATATACTTGACACATATAATTCACATATTTCAGGGAGGAATGAATCAGGACAACTTGGACAAGGGAGCACAGATAGAGTTGATAGCCCTACAGTAGTATCAGCTTTAGAAGGTCTCAATGTTATAGATGTGGCATGTGGAAAACAACATACATTATTTGTCACAGGTATCTTGCTATTTCATGCATATTATTACTAGTGTTTTACATGTATAAATAAATGTACCTCCTTCCTCTAACATGACAGTTTAGTGTCTATCCTTAAGATTATTTTTTATTCATTTTTGAACAAGCACTTAAAAAGTCGGACTATGAATCAAGTTTAGAATTTTTTTGAAAAATTGAAGTGTCTACTTACTGACCTATATAAAAATAAGGAGACTTGGTATGATTGCCAATGAGACAACTATTCACCAAAGTTCAAATGAAGTGGGTGTTAGCAATTATAGGCAACCTTCAACAATGAGAAAAATATGTTTCTGCATGTGATAATAAGTACAAATGTAGAAAAACAAGTATTTTTACCCTTTGTCTTGATTATTTACATAATATTTTAAAAGTTCTGTTATAATTTGTTGTGTTTTTATTGTAACTTAAAAAATATATATAAAAACATCCTGCATTTACTTTCAAACAGATTGTAAAATTGGAAATGGAACATGATTAAATTATCAACCATTTTTAAAAGACAAATAAGTTTTAAGGTTTTTTTTATTGATTAAAAAATACTTATTACAATTTGTTTCTCAGTGCCAGAAGTTTGGTCTTGTCTATTAAAGCAGGGGTTTACATGTACATGTATATCATGATAAAATTAGATTTCCCTTAGACTTTTAATGTATACCTTGATACATGTTTACTGTAAATTCAGAAATTATTTCATGCATTCATTGTTGCAATTGTGGAAGAAAAGACAAAAATGTGAGATTAATTATTGCCATTTTATGAAGATCTGAATACAGTTATATGTATTGGATATCAGAATGCGAGTTCTTATAATTGTGATACTCACCCAGTTACATTATTTGCATTTAATTTCTGAATTTTACAGTGTATGTGGGTTGTAATATTCATGATTTTGATGCATTAGACTATGATTGCACCCTTCACAATAATATTTTTGTATTCCAGTGGGGATATTTTGCGTATTTTACGTTATTTCTGAAATGAGCCAAAAATAAATCCAATGCAGAAAATTTCCATTTATGCAGTATGTTAATACTTAGTAAGTGTCAAGTTTTGTCATTCTATATATCTGGAGAATGAATTTGATACATAAATGATATGGTGTGTATTGAAAATATATCATTATTTTAATACATTGTAAGTATAAATATGTTACTGATGATTAATTTTATATTTTTCAGAAAAAGGTGTTGTGTATAGTTGTGGTGAAAACAAATATGGACAACTTGGACTTGGTCATCAGAGTTGTAATGTGTACACACCCACAAAGGTTCGAAATACTTTTGGTAGAATTACTTTAATATTTATTTTATTATGTAGTTCTTGATTTGTTGTACAAAATAAACTATATTAGATGCTTCTATTTTCCTTGATAAAAGACCTGAATTTTGACACTCTGAATTGCTTTTTCATATTGATTTACGGGACTAAACCTTTTAATGTCTGACAAAAATAATAATGCAAGGATATCATTTTCAAAAGAAAAGATTAATACCTCTCCTTATTTCATCATGATGAAGTATGTTAATTAGCTTTATGTATCTTGTTATATGTATATAACATGAATATGATGTATGGTTTAAATGTCTGTCTTTGGAATTGTAGATCTCATTTAATGGACCACCAATAAAGAAAGTGGCAGCAGGAGGAGACTTCAGTATGATGATCGACATCAGAGGAAACCTCTACTCATTTGGTTGTCCAGAGTATGGACAGTTAGGTAGGTAACAACAAAAGAAACCTATATTCTTTTTATTCTTTCAATTTGACTCAAGGCCACTTAAATCCTTTTGTGGTTGGGGTGAGCAGCTGAGACATCCAAGACCCCATTCTTTTCATATATGTTAGATAACAAAAATACATACCCTATCACATATTTTTTTATATGACCCCAAAAAAATATTAGTATGACGTTGTCGTCGTCGTCTGAAGACACATTGGTTTTCACACTCTAACATTAGTTTAATGGATCTCTATGAAATTTTACCATAAGGTTCAATACCACAAAAGGAAGGTCAGGATTGATTTTGGGGGTTATGGTACCAACAGTTAAGGAATTAGGGGCCATAAATAAGCATTTTTGTAACTTCCAGACATAACTTGTGTGCTAGTGTATGGATCTCTCTGACATTGTACCACAAGGTTCCATATCACAAAGGGAATGCTGGGATTGATTTTGGGGGTAAATGCCTCAAAATTTTAGGAATTAGGGGCCAAAAAAGGGGCAAAAAACGCATTTTTCTAGTTTCATGACAATAACTTGTGTGTAAGTGTATGGATCTTTCTGAAATTGTACAACAAGGTTCCATATCACAAAGGGAAAGCTGGGATTGATTTTGGGGGTAATTGCCTCAAAATTTTAGGAATTAGGGGCCATAAAGGGGCAAAAAAACAAGCATTTTTCTAGTTTCATGACAATAACTTGTGTGTAAGTGTATGGATCTTTCTGAAATTGTACTACAAGGTTCCATATCTCAAAGAAAAAGCTGGAATTGAGTTTTAAGGGTAATTGCCCAAAACGTTAAGGAATAAGGGGCCAAAAAGGGGCCATAAATAAGCATTTTTCTAGTTTCCAGACAATAACTTGTGTTCAAGTGTATGGATCTCTCTGAAATTGTACTGCAAGGTACCATACCACAAAGGGAAGGCTGGGATTGAGTTTGGGGGTGATGAATCATAAGGGGGTTCAAAAAATTTGGGGGGAGGGATTTTTTTTTTCCTTTTTTTTTTCTTTAAAATTTTCCATTTTAAATTGGTTATTTCTGATTTATATATAAAAGCAAATAATAATGATATGGTTTGAATAGGTAAATTAAAAATTTATAAGTTCTTAGACCACATTCATTCTGTGTCAGAAACCTATGCTGTGTCAAATATTTAATCACAATCCAAATTCAGTGTGTATCAAGCTTGAATGATGTGTCCATACTTGCCCAAACTGTTCAGGGTTTGACCTCTGCGGTCGTATCAAGCTGCGCCCAGCAGAGCATTTTTTATTGCTTTTTATCACGTGGTCACATATTTTATCACTGAATATGTTGACAAGTTACTTGAAACACTTTTAGTCTTTAAGATATTTGTTTTGATATTGTTGGGCCAATAAGATCCTTACCATCCCTTTTCCCTGTTTTAAAGTATTGTTTAAAATAGAATATGACTGTGTAATGTATATCATTAATTAAAACATTTTTGCATCCAATATCAAAATTGTTGAATAAAGAATATCAAGAAGTGCTGCATATAAAAAATGCTATCAAAATTCAAAATGCTATTTTTGGTCTTCTCCCAATTTCCACAAAAATATTTTAATTTACAGTACTCTTGTGTTTTCCTGTATCAATAACATAACTTGATATATCATTACAGGACATAACACAGATGGTAAATTCTTTGTCACTAGCAATAAGTTATCGTTCAAATGTGAGTTATACCCCCGTAAAGTGAACGTCTTCATTGACAGAGACAGAGATAATCGTATTGTACCTGTAACAGACGTAGAACTCAGAGATATTGCTTGTGGACATAACCATTCGGTAAGATTTTACATGTCAAACTAATGTCTTCTATTTGCAAAGCCTACAAATAAAAAAGAAACAAAAAACATTTTCTTTTCTTGCATAAATATAAGCTTGAAGTACAAATGACTATAATTTACCCACAAAACTCCTTTATAAAGGAAATTTAAATGAAAGTTAGATTAACAAACAATTTTAAGTATAAGATTTGATAACATCATAGAAATGTAATTCAAACTCAGTTACAGCAAAAATAAACTGTGCTTTACACAACATGCAGGAAATATTGACATTCTAGTTACCTTATATAAAAGAAACCTGTGTCAAGATCTGACTTGACAGGATATTCTGTTTATATCTCAAAACAAGAGTTGCAGCAATTACTGACTACTAATTCAAGAGGAATACAATAAAAATGCATCCAAATCGGACAATAAGAAATTTTATGTATTTTCAAAAAAATTGTGTTGAGACTAATTGCATTTAAAAATCTAATCCACTTCAAATGTAGAAATAAAACAGTGTACAATGTAAAATGAGAATTCTTTTGTTCTCTTGATTCTGTTTTGCTTGTTAACCGTAACAGCTATAATGAATTTATTGAAAACTAAAGTAGACTTGTTCAAAAATACCTAAACTGCCAAAGCGTATTGAATTGTATGAATTATGTAAAATAGTGAATTTTTAATGATCCTCCTAGAAGGATTTTCATTTAAAAAAGAAAAAAACTAGCATCAAAATCTGGTAAAAAATAAATCCTGTGATCTACAGTTGTTTTTTGGCCATTTCTGAAATTAGTAGGACTATGATTCTTAAATCAAAGACTCTTTCTTCAAAGAAGCATTTATTGAATTGATATGATAGTTCAATTTAAAAAACATATTGAACAAAACTTGTGTCTACAGACTACCTCACTGACGATACAAATGACATAACACTATACTGTATCATCAAATGACTTATATATATATTTAAACAATGTACATTGTCAATCATACCACATCTTATTTTTATATAGGTGGCATTAGATGTAAAGAAGAGAATATTTACCTGGGGCTTTGGTGGTTATGGTCGATTAGGTCACAGTGAACCAAAAGATGAAATGGTACCAAGAAAACTAGGCTACTTTGATGGACCAAATAGAGGAGCTAAACAAGTATATGCAGGATCGACATTTTCTCTAGCAGTCAGCGAACATGGTAATATTTACTGTCTTTTAGCTAAAACCGATGTGTGGAAGTCTGGTTAAAAACTGTTTAATCCAGTAAAGTTTAAATATTGACAGTACCGCCAACATGCACTTGTCCAATGAAAATCTTACCTGTTTATGTTATACTGACACATTGTAATGCTTGGAATTTAAAAGTCTGAGAGGATTACAAACATGAAGAAATTCTTCTAATTGAAAAAAATTCTGATGCCCATGACATTGATACTTCTGGTTTAAGGATTAAGTCTTGAAAAACATTGTAAAAGTTCAGAATTTTTGCCATTTATAAATGAAATGGCCTTCCATAGACTACTGTACCAAGGAATATTTTCATCCAATGGTAGCATATAAGGGATAAAGTTACTCCCCAATGACCACTCTCTGCACAGGACACAAAATAATTGTCTTTTCCATCATCCCATTTGCCTGATGTTCAATAGATAGGTCACAAAATTGGCATACACAGCAGTTTGATAATGAGTATTAACTTTTTGGGGCATACAAAATAGTCTGAAATATCGTTGAGTTGGGAGGTTATTCGTGGAGCCAAAATTTTAATATGACTCTATTATTATTTAAGGGGCATTATTTTTATGGGGCCAACAGAAACCAACAGGAGAAGCTGCTATGTACCCTAAACTTGTTCAAGATCTCAGTGGCTGGAGAATAAGAAGCCTTGGTTGCTGGTAAGTTTGTTTATAATATCTTATTACTGTGGATTCATTATTATTTATTGGGTTCCAATTTTAGTTGGTTTTGTGGATAATTGCAAACTACAGTTTTAAAGGTTCAATGAAATATATAAATCAACAAAAATACAATTTTCTTCAATCCATGAAAAATTGGTACATATGAAAATAAATCTATGGTACACATAAGCCAAGATTTTCTTGGTATTGGCTAATTTCTGTTTTAGAATTTAAATTTTGATAGAATATCTGAAAAGAATTGAACCTATAAACCATTTCATGATTTTATTTTGGCATGTCAGAATTTGTTATGAATGGTGAGGTACAACATTTTCTTGAAAAATAAAATAAAGGTACTTGACCATCTGTAACAGCTTCTTTGCATGTCTGCATATTCCAATAAAACTTTATTTTAGGAACTACAGCTGGTCAGAATCACCCATTGGTCATTTAATTTCCAAATTTACTTGAATAATCCCACTGACCAACCAACTAATATATGAATATATTGGTCAAGAATAGATATTAATGATTGTCAAAAATAGATATTAATGATTGTCAAGAATAGATATGAATGATGGTCAAGAATAGATATGAATGGTGTCAACCTGCAGAACTAATATTTGAAACCATTGTGAATATAGATTTTGACAGAAATATTTATTTAAAAAAGGTAAAAAAAAAAGCTATTGACAAGCTTAGAATTTTGTATATAGTCATAATTATTTGGTACCAATATATGAATTCTTTGATATATTGAATGTACTTTCAGAAATGCCAGCCTGTCCATCTGCTCAGACTGGTATACATGTGGACAGGAAAGGCTATTGTGAAGTATCTACCTTTAAATATTAAATTGGATTATGTGCCTGTCCCAGGTCAGGGGCCAGTAGTTCAGTGGTTGTTGTTGATTCATGTCTGTCATATTTGTTTTTCGTAAATTGTTTTGTTATAAGTTAGGCCGTTAGTTTTCTCAGTTAAATTGTTTCTATTTTTCGTGTCGGGGCCTTTTAAAGCCGACCATACGGTAGGTTTTTTTCTCATTGTAGAAGGCCGTACAGTTACCTATAATTGATTACGTCCACTTCATGGTGGATTTGGTGGATAGTTGTCTCATTGGCTATAATATATACCTCATCTCCTTATTTTTATATTATCAGGATGATTTGGGAAGTTAATGGTCCTTTTATATCCATTTTTGGAAGTATTTAATCCAAAATCAGATCATTAGGGATAAGTTGGTTTGTCAGGTGATAGTGTTTGAAAATGAGCATAATGTTAGATAAATCCTCATTAAGAATAGGTACTTTTTACTGGACCATGAGAAATGCAAGAAAAAGTCCATGCTTATATACATAACGGTAATCATTCTGGATCGCCATAGGCTTAGAAGTGTGGTGCAACCTAGGATTTCCAGCACCACATTTTAATATTTTTTACAACAAAAACATTTATGTTCTGATATGAGATAACTTTGAACTATAATTCTTATTATCAGTATCAATTTGAAATACTACAATCATTGGTGATTAAGTTTTAATTGTTTTTTCATAAAAAGGCCATTCCTCCTTGGATATAAACAAAAATAGTACACAGTTCTGCATAACCATGCCTATATATTTGCTTCTTCAAACAATAAACTTCATGCTGTAAAGTTTAAACCTTTATTTTAATGAAAAGGTGATGTATTTAGTGTTGTCAACGTTAACCATGTTTATAATTACTTAAAATCCACCATCTGGAGACATTTTAAAACTAAATCACCACAAATCCTGTCTAAAACAAACTTTGTGCAAAGTGTGAACCTTTCTAAACTGAATTGTCATATCACCCGTGTACACCAAACACTTGTCTGATCAAAACTAAATCTTAATAACCAAAGGGGTTCAATTTGAACAGGTCTTACTGTTGTTAATACTATATTATTTTTTTTCAGTAACAAAAGTATAGTGGTTGCTGCTGATGATAGCTTAGTTGCATGGGGACCAAGTCCAACCTATGGTGAATTGGTAAGAATTTTATTTTACCCATTGAAACATACTATTTGTATGGATAATTGAAATTAAAAAACAGGAAAGATAAGCAAGGACATACTAGGGTTTGATGAAAATAAGTTTAAAAAAAGAAACTAGGAGTTGAAAATGATTCATGTGAATGAAATTATCATATAAGCTTACTATTACAAAGAACTCCATAGAAAATTAAATATAAATATAAAATGCAATTGTTTTTTTTTTAATGTAAAGTCAGAAATTTTCATGTTATTTTATTGCACCAGTATTGGTATCACAAAAATAAAAACTCACATTTTCAGTTTTCATATTTGTTAGCAGATCTCAAAAATCACCATTATAAATGCACTAAAAAATTTCTGAATTTACAGTCCACAAACAAGGAATTGATACTTCTTTCGCTTTGTCAAAATATATAGAAAACACAATCTATAAATCAAATTTGATAGTTTATGGAAGGTTTAAAGCATCTTGATTTTATATAATCTGAACTTGTATAAACTATTTTCAGGGTTTTGGAGACACCAAAAAAAGTTCATCTTGCGCTCAGGAAGTAAAAACCCTTGGGAATATTTACATTCACTCAGTGGCTTGTGGTTATGGACATACATTAATGATTGCTAGAAACGATACAGAGGATGAGAAAAATGAGATAGAAAAAATGGATGTTTATACTCCATAACTGTAGTTGTATGTCTATAAATAGATCAGGAAAATTTAATAATGATCTTCAATTGGAGGTTAACCTTTCACAGGGTATTAAAACAACATATGTACCAGTTATTTGGAAATTTTCATATTTTTTTTAAACATATTGTTGAAAATTGCATAATGTTGGACACACAAAGTGCTTAGTACTATGATATAATATACAAGATGAAATATTATGGCCTTAAAACAGTAATGCTCCAGGTGGGGGTTAGAATTCAAATTTAAAAATAGATTCTGATACATACAAAATTTAGCAAGAAGAAAATCTCCATATTATGTTTTAGTAAGGAGCATATGATTGGTTAAATATTATTTGACATTATTACATGTGTATATGTTTATTACAGATTAAATGAATTATATAAACCAAATTAAATGAATTTTTTATTGGCATACTGCTGTTTTAAACCTTTAATCATTTCTTGCAAATAAATTGTTAAGGCTCGCCAGTATAAAAAGTGAGAATTATTTTATAAAGTAATAATGATTAAAAAAATCTATAGATGAGAAAGCAAATTTGTCTTATATTTATAGGGTGAAGAAAACAAAAAGAAAACCATAAAAATCAGGATTAAATTAGTATTTTGTTTTTATCTACCTCTGTCATTTCCACATATTATATACATGTATAAAATTTTCTGTGATCATGCCAAAAAATCAAATTTTGTAAATTCATTGTTGATACCTAACAGCTTTACATTTGATAAATTTGCTGTTTCAATATCCAATGCATTCTGGGTAATACTGACAAAAATCTACCCTAAAATGTTACAATTGGTTGATAATGTCTTGAACAATGGATATTCCACTCATGCCGTATGTACAAGGAATTTACTCATAATTCTTCAAATTCTGAAACAGTTATTTACTTTTAAGGAATCTGTACCATAATCGATCACACCATCCCTAAATACATAAAGATGTAATTGCATAATTATCAATATTACTGGTAAATATCAGAATTTCTTGGTAAACTAAAGAAAAAGCATATAAAAAGTGTATTTGGATAGAATGCCTGTACATGCAATGAACTTGTCATATCATAATAATTCTGAATATTCTTGATATTCTCAGATATTACTGTTATTTTCATTGTGATGTATTCTCCACTGAACTTCAAGTAACAGACAGTAAATCAGTTAATTATTGTGGTACAGATGTCTCTTAATTGTGACCTATTTAGCAACGAACTTCATCCAATACTTATAGTATTGATGGAACCTACTATTAAAAAGATTGAAAAGTTGAATTATGCAGTGACTAATTTGATCAAAAAATTTACTTGTGCAATATTTAATTACACTTCGTAGAAACTGAGATGAAGTATAAATTTTAGCTTACATGATCAAAATTTGTTCAGATGTATTTTCTGTAAATCCAAGATTCCTCCCATTGCAGTGTAATAAATTCTGACAAGTCTCATCTTCAGATTCATGAACACATATAATATGTTGACCTCCATCCATTGTATTTCATTGTATATGAATCATATCAAATTTAAACAATTATATTGTTCTTGTTGTAGATTTTTGTTTTCACTTTACAATATTTGTGAAAAGAGTTTTATTTTTTGTGTTATAGAACAGTTCAGTGATTGTAGATTGTCTTATTCCATGTATGGTTAAATCTGTCTGAAAATATTCATTAATTGATTAACCTGTTTCAACAAATTGTCTGTCTATTATGAATTAAATGCTCAGTTTTATAGGGATTTGGTTTAGAAAGATTTGACAGTATTAAAGTCTTACTTAAAATCAGGCAGATTAAAAGCATACAAATTTACATCAAGTTTAAATCACAGTAATGAAGTACTTATTATTTTGGTAAAATGCAACATAAGGGGTGATAACTCAGTATTAAAATACTGTAATACAATACTCTCATTACAACTCATTTTACAAAGAATCTTACTAGCGAAAATACTCTTTATGAGCATTTCAGTATTAATCTTAAAATTTTTTTGTGAAAAAGGTCACTGTTCAAGATCAAAATCTTATGGAAAGTAAGATGAGTTTCCTCAATTCTATTTATAGATTTTTTGAGACTAGCACTTAAGGACACAGTTAGTACTTACCATTCCACAAAAAAAAAAAATATTGTGTTGTAATGACACTTCTCAATACTTAGATGCTACTGTGTGTAACATTCAGTCTAGAAGAATTTCAAATTGAAATGATTGTGTACAATTTACATTTAGAGAAAGTGGGTTTTATATTCACAGAACAAAACATTTTTATGAATTTGTACTAATTAGTTTTCTTGCATTTTATGTTAACTTTATGTAAAACAAAACCGACAAATTTGACCAATAATTCTTTTTGCAATGTATCCCTTGTGGCACTGTATTTGCCTTTTAGGTAAAAAGTTAAATAAGACTTGCTGTTGATTCATTAATATTAATGGGATACTATATTATTACAAATTTCAGTGGATTTTGTGGGTAGAGGAAAACCATAAACTTAAACGTTAGAAAAAATTCAAATTTTTAATTTCTTTTTATAGAAAAAAAAATGATGAACCATGACATAGCATTTTCTTCTCCAACCACGAAAATTGATACCAAGGAAAATAACTGAATCCTCATAATCCACCTTCTGGCAGAAACAGAAAAATACATAGGTATACTCAATAATTGAGCTACAGATTTTTGTCCAAGAATATGTAGCAGAAAGTTATTAAAGAATGTTTTTTGAAAAAAAAAAAAAAAAATGCTGAAAATTAATTAATAGGATATTTCTGACAGAGGGGATAAGTCTTACCGATTCTCTTACAAAAGGATCAAATACAGCCAAGCAGTGCAACAAGAGAAACTTTGCAAACGTACTATCATATACGCATAATCAACTGTCATGTATTCATTTTTGGGGATACAATTTTTTTTACTTTATTCAGATATTGTAATGAAAAAAAGTTTGAAACAACAAAAATCATTTTTGTATCTGTTTGTTTCAATTCAAAATCATTTGTTTTAATTCTGTATCATTGTGTTTCAATTTTGATATAATTTGATTCAATTCAATATCATTTTGTTTCAGTTCTGTATCATTAAGTTCTGTGTCATTTAGTTTCAGCTCTGCATCATATTTTGAGTTTGATTTTCCTATCACCTGTCATTATTTGTTATAGTGCAATACAACAATTAATAAAGATCTGAACTGTATTTTTGTTTCGTTTCTTTAAACAGATTTATATTTAGACTACCTTGCAAGTTCTTACTGATTGGTGTATAAGCATTGACAGTGCCATTCCTTGCCATCAAGACCTATGTTGACCTAGTTATATACACTTAGATTAGCCGGTAGACATTTCAGTAAAATTTTTGGTGTCCTCTTTATACCACTGTCACAAAGAGGAGTGGGAGTAAATAGTGATCCACATCTGTCGATTAGTGTATAGGTCTTTCACAAGTTTTATTTCCAGATGATAATTAAAGTACCGCTTGATTAAATCTGAAATATTAATGCTGTCACCATAAAATTTTGGTCAAATTATGATTGTTTTGATATTTACCATTTAAGATTTATTGTTTGCTGATGATAATTAGAAAACTACTTGACCAAATCTTTTGAAATTAGATTTTTATAAATCTGGATACTTCATATCTGGTATAGAAGTGCATTATGTCCTGAAGTTTCTGTCTGACGAATACTCTTTGTCCTTGACCTCACTGTTATGGTTTGGATATAAAAATGTGATACGATTGTCAATGACAACTATTCACCAGAGACCAAATGAGAGATGAAAACAACTAAGTCGGCATATGCTCCCTTGTTTCTTAAAAATAAGTCAACTATATCTTTATAAAAATAAGGAGTTGTGAAATGGTTGCCAAAGAGACAGCTATCCACCAAAGTTCAAATGACAAAAGATATATTTTAATCAATTGATACTATATATTCAGCAATAAAAGGCTATGACATGAAATGTGAAACAATTTAAACGAGATCTTTAATTTTAACAATACAAATTTGACAGACGTGAACCAACACAACCACTGAATTCAGTATAGGCTCCCGACTTGGGATAGGCACATAATAATGAAGTGGGTTAAACATGTTTGGGAGCGCTGGAACAATGGTGTGACAGCACAACATAACAACCAACTTTCAAAATCATTTGCAAATGGCTTAACTCGATAGATCAGAACAAAGCACAAAAGACACAAGGCACCAATATAAAAGTACTCGCACATTGTCAGTTTTAGGGGTACCACTAATGGTAAGTCAATGATATTTGGTATGCATTTGTGTTAGCATTAGCACATCTAATTTTTAAACCAAATTTTCATAGAGATTATTTGGCCCAGCCCCCTCAGTCATGGTCCATTGGCAATAAAGTTTGACATAGTTCAAGTGATGCCACTTAAATTTCAACATTTGCATTATACTATAATAAAATGCTCCGCTGGGGCGCAGCTTGATACGACCGCAGAGATCAAACCCTGAACAGTTGGGGCAAGTATGGACACAACATTCAAGCTTGATACAGCACTGAATTTGGATTGTAATTAAATATTTGACACAGCATAGGTTTCTGACACAGAATGAAAGTGGTCTAAGAACTTATAATTTTTTAATTTACCTATTCATATATGTGATGGACTGTGAAACTCAGATCAGGAGATTGGGAAATTTTGGTCAGGAGATTAGGACTCAGATCAGGAGGTTTTTAATCGACATAAATTTTGTCGTAAATGTAACCGTGTGCTGTAAAAATGGTCTTTTAAAGTGTGTTTTCTTCAACTTTCCATCCAATTTATTATGTTTATAGTACCCTTGTACTTATAAAGTTTCTCCATCTTTATATTTTACATGTTCAATCTAACATTTTTTTATATCAGTATGTTCTTTAAATTTTTTACTTCATATTCTATAAAACATTTATTGCAACCAAAACACTTGTTTAACTATCTGCAAATAGCTTTTGTTTGCATACTCAGAAAATCATTCTAACTGTAAAACAAGGGTCATAGTTATTATATAAATTTCAATTTAAGCCTTGAAAGAAAGTATAGAATCCTCAAATAATTTTCAAATTATTATTTTTTTATTTGTCCTAAGACATTTAAAATCATTTATTTACCATCCTTTTATGATTATTTGTTCAATTTATATTTTATTTATATTCTTTTAAAAATTTTCATTATTAAAAGGAAAGTAACTTAAAACAGGATAAATCAAGGGAAGTAACCCAATAAATACACAGTTTTTGTTACACAACGGCAGTTAGCCTGAGGTAAAAAATCGTTGATTACCAGTATGTTTGACACCCAAGCTGACAAGTGAAGCCATATAATTATGCATGTTAATTGATTTACAGGTAAAATATAACTTCAGGTAATGTGAGTTACACCAGATGCCTGAGATGATATGTTGGGCAGAAATTTTTCATTCATGAAAAATTTCATACACGGGATTATAATTTTCCTCTTCAACCGGAGGTCGGGAGGAGACTCCTGAAAACAGGATTATTGTACTCCTGTCGGGAGGTTCACATGTATGCTATTCAAACCATATCATTATTATTTGCTTTTATATATAAATCAGAAATAACCAATTTAAAATGGAAAATTTTAAAGAAAAAAAAGGAAAAAAAAATCCCCCCCCCCAAATTTTTTGAACCCCCTTATGATTCATCGCCCCCACACTCAATCCCAGCTTTCCCTTTGTGGTATGGTACCTTGCAGTACAATTTTAGAGAGATCCATTCACTTGAACACAAGTTATTGTCTGGAAACTAGAAAAATGCTTGTTTTTTTGTCCCTTTTTGGCCCCTAATTCCTAAACGTTTAGGGCAATTACCCCCAAACTCCAACCCAGCTTTCCCTTTGTGATATGGAACCTTGCAGTACAATTTCATAAAGATCCATACACTAACACACAAGTTATTGTCCTGAAACTAGAAAAATGCTTGTTTTTTGCCCCTTTTTGGCCCCTAATTCCCCAAATTTGGAGGAAATTACCCCCAAAAATCAATCCCAGTATTCCCTTTGTGATATGGAATCTTGTGATACAATGTCAGAGAGATCCATACACTAACACACAAGTTATTGTCATGAAACTAGAAAAATGCTTGTTTTTTGCCCCTTTTTGGCCCCTAATTCCTAAAATTTGGAGGCAATTACCCCCAAAATCAATCCCAGCATTCCCTTTGTGATATGGAACCTTGTGGTACAATGTCAGAGAGATCCATATACTTACACACAAGTTATGTCTGGAAGTTACAAAAATGCTTATTTTTGGCCCCTTTTTGGCCCCTAATTCCTTAACTGTTAGTACCATAACCCCCAAAATCAATCCCCACCTTCCTTTTGTGGTATTGAACCTTATGGTAAAATTTCATTGAGATCCATTCACTTAAACTAAAGTTAGAGTGCGAAAACTAATGTGTATTCGGACGACGACGCCGGACGACGACGACGACGACGACGACGACGACGACGACGACGCCAACGTCATACCAATATACGACCACAAAAATTTTTTTGCGGTCGTATAAAAATTATGCACAGGCAAAAAATATGTCAGCAGTTTGTACTGCTAAAAAGTATAAAACCACTCCCACCGGTAACTGATTTTTTAAAAGTACTGAAAAAAATCAGCACATGAAGACCATTTAGAATTTTGCAAGCTATTACTTAATATCAAAACATTTCAACTGAAAGCAAACTACATGTATTAGACCCACCCTCAGTCAATGTATTTATAATATAAAAATAAGTAGATGTGGTATGATTGCCAATGAGACAAATCTCCACAAGAGACCAAATGACATAGAAATAAACAACTGTGTATAGATACAGTATAGCGGGTTATTTGCGCGGGGTATTTATTTTCGCTTATTTTGGCGGATGAAATAAAATTGCGAAAAAAATTCCGCGAAAAATTAATCCATATTTTTGTTACTTTCTAATAGCTAAAGCATCGGTCGGTAGGTCAATAACGGTATAGGTTTTTTTTAACAACATAAACAAAAAGGGCATTGAACATACATGTATTTTATAAAATGACTGTCACGTGTGTATATCCTTATCAATTAGTGTTAAATAGATTATGAGTAGGGTACTCTACCCTACTCATAATCTATTTAACACTAATTACCCTTATTAATTAGTGTCAAATTGCATAAGAGTTGTAAATCAGTCTTGATAATTTTATAACCTAATTAGTGAGTACATCAAAGTTCCGGTCAAGATCAATAAATAAGACGTCATTTAGGTAAACAAATCAATTAACTTGATGGTCAATTTTTCAATATTTTAATTGCAACAATTTCAGTATCCGCCAAAATATTTAATTGGGATTTAAGAATCCACCAAAATTTTTCGTATACTTTGTTGCCCCTAAATCGCGAAATTTTACACCCGCGAAAATAACCTGCTATACGGTATCTTTATATATCTACAAAAATACAATCCAGTCTCAATATGAAGTTGAGAAATGAGAAATCATTTATATTGTTTTTCCACCTTAGGCCTTTTTAATAAAAGGAATTATCAATAAAACTGAAATCAATTTATCAGTTTTGTTTAAAGTCAAGATCACTGTGTCAAAATTTCTAAAAGAATATTCTTGATCTTTTTTGACACATGGAAATTAAGTATTTACAAATGGACAATAAAAAAAAAGCTACAAACAGTAAGACAAACACTAAATTTCAGAGCAATATTAACCTTTATTTGAATCTACTGCCATTAGCAGATTAAACAAAACAAAATACTACATGACAGCCACAGGACCTCATAAATATTTTATCACAAAATACCTTCAATTGAACAGATCAATATGCTTCTTATTTGATGTTCTGTTAGTAAATATTGCTGAATATTTTAGTAGGTTTTCAATAGTTATAATTGCAAGACAGCTTTAAAAATACAATGCCAAAGTGATGGAAATAGGGGCACTATTAGGGTATCCCCCTTAGGTCACAAGGTAGTGTTTTTTTTTATTTTCCTCAGGTCAACACCCCTTTAAAGCAAATTTGAAAGCAATATTAAAGGTTACAGGTCCTTTTAAATGGGACATTGGATTACAAGTTGCACGCTAATCCCCAAAGGTCGTAGGTCTGATTTGACCATGTTGGAGCCGCAAATCGATCTTTTGGCTTAATGAGTGGAAACAGTATAAATGAATTGAATTTAAATAGTATGACAAAAATGTACAAGTATCAAATTTCTTTATAAATTACATAAAGTGAAATCTTTATTTTCTGACACATAATAATCATTAACAGTCACATGATCTACACATCACATTACTCTCTGACATAACAAATGTTTGTCTCACTTCCACAGCTTTGTACCACTACTTCCTCTTATCCTACAATAGAAAGAAAAAAGGCATTACAGGTCTTTGCTATTAGGACAAGTCCATTAAAATGGGTGTTTAAGGGTAGGAAAGGACATAAAAAATCCATGAACAACCAACATACTTCTTTAAGTATTATTTCTTACTTAAAATTGAAATACAACCATGTATGACTCAAAACCCTTTTTATACGACCGCAAAAAAATTTTTGTGGTCGTATATTGGTATGACGTTGGCGTCGTCGTCGTCCGAAGACACATTAGTTTTCGCACTCTAACTTTAGTTTGAGTGAATGGATCTCAATGAAATTTTACCATAAGGTTCAATACCACAAAAGGAAGGTGGGGATTGATTTTGGGGGTTATGGTACCAACATTTAAGGAATTAGGGGCCAAAAAGGGGCCAAAAATAAGCATTTTTGTAACTTCCAGACATAACTTGTGTGTAAGTGTATGGATCTCTCTGACATTGTACCACAAGGTTCCATATCACAAAAGGAATGCTGGGATTGATTTTGGGGGTAATTGCCTCCAAATTTTAGGAATTAGGGGCCAAAAAGGGGCAAAAAACAAGCATTTTTCTAGTTTCATGACAATAACTTGTGTGTAAGTCTATGGATCTCTCTGACATTGTACCACAAGGTTCCATATCACAAAGGGAATGCTGGGATTGATTTTGGGGGTAATTGCCTCCAAATTTTAGGAATTAGGGGCCAAAAAGGGGAAAAAAACAAGCATTTTTCTAGTTTCCAGACATTAACGTGTGTTAGTGTATGGATCTTTATGAAATTGTACTGCAAGGTTCCATATCACAAAGGGAAAGCTGGAATTGAGTTTGGGGGTAATTGCCCAAAAAGTTTAGGAATAAGGGGCCAAAAAGGGGCCAAAAATAAGCATTTTTCTAGTTTCCAGACAATAACTTGTGTTCAAGTGTATGGATCTCTCTGAAATTGTACTGCAAGGTACCATACCACAAAGGGAAGGCTGGGATTGATTTTGGGGGTAATTCCCTCAAAATTTTAGGAATTAGGGGCCATAAAAGGGCAAAAAATTTTACAAGCATTTTTTCTAGTTTCAGGACAATAACTTGTGTGTAAGTGTATGGATCTTTATGAAATTGTACTGCAAGGTTCCATATCACAAAGGGAAAGCTGGGTTTGAGTTTGGGGGTAATTGCCCTAAACGTTCAGGAATTTGGGGCCAAAAAGGGGCAAAAAAACAAGCATTTTTCTAGTTTCCAGACAATAACTTGTGTTCAAGTGTATGGATCTCTCTGAAATTGTACTGCAAGGTACCATACCACAAAGGGAAGGCTGGGATTGAGTTTGGGGGTGATGAATCATAAGGGGGTTCAAAAAATTGGTGGGGGGGATTTTTTTTCCCTTTTTTTTTCTTTAAAATTTTCCATTTTAAATTGGTTATTTCTGATTTATATATAAAAGCAAATAATAATGATATGCATACATGTGAACCTCCCAACGGGAGTACAATAATCCCGTTTTCAGGGGTCTCCTCCCGACCTCCCGTTGAAGAGAAAAAAATCCAGTGTATGAAATTTTTTCCCCAACATATCATCTCAGACATCTGGTGTAACTGACATTACCTGAAGTTATATTTTACATGTAAATCAATTAGCATGCATAATTATATGGCTTCACTTGTCAGCTTGGGTGTCAAACTTACTGGTAATCAACAATTTTTACCTCAGGCTAACTGCTGTTGTGTAATAAAAACTTTGTGTATTTATTGGGCTACTTCCCTTGATTTATCCTGTTTTAAGTTTCTTTCCTTTCAATAATGTAAATTTTTAAAAGAATATAAATAAAATATAAATTGAACAAATAATCATAAAAGGATGGTAATTAAATTATTTTAAACGTCTTAGGACAAATAAAAAAATAATAATTTGAAAATTATTTGAGGGTTCTATACTTCCTTTCAAGACTTAAATTGAAATTTATATAATAACTATGACCCTTGATTCTAGATCTTATATATATGTTTCTTAATATGCAAATATAAACTAATTGCAATTGCTGATAGTTAAACAAATGTTCTGAATGCAATGATTGTTCTATAGAATAATGATATAAAAGATATGAATTAAAAAATTTAAAAAAGATAGAGAAACTTTATAAGTACAAGGGTACTATAAACAAAATACATTCGGATGGAAAGTTGAAGAATACACACTTTAAAAGACAATTTTTACAGCACACGGTTACATTTACGTCAAAATTTATGTCGACTAAAAACCTCCTGATCTGAGTCCTAATCTCCTGACCAAAATTTCCCAATCTCCTGATCTGAGTTTCACAGTCCATCACATGTATGGATATGGTTTGAATAGGTAAATTAAAAATTTTTAAGTTCTTAGACCACTTTCATTCTGTGTCAGAAACCTATGCTGTGTCAAATATTTAATTACAATCCAAATTCAGTGCTGTATCAAGCTTGAATGTTGTGTCCATACTTGCCCCAACTGTTCAGGGTTCGACATCTGCGGTCGTATCAAGCTGTGCCCCAGCGGAGCATTTTATTCAAATTTAAAACTTCCTTCCTACCCTTCATCATTTATTTTAATGGTATAGCCCTAACTGACACTGCAAGTGAATTTGACATTGTAATGTTCCCATGCTGTTTGGTACATTTGTGACTTACTTATCTTCTCAAATATGTGTAAGCTATAGTGAAAGTTTGTGTAACAATATTACTTTTGTAGAAATTATCGGCTGTTTCATTGATGTACCATGGTATTACCAAATACAAAAATTCCATTTTATTCAAACAAAGGAATACAGCAGATTGTTACCCCGAGAAAACATTGTCAACTGAGGCGAAGCCAAGGTTGACAACGTCTTTCCGAGGGGTAACAATCTGCTCTATCACCCTCTCAGATATGTGTTATTTAATTTATTATACTGAATGTTCTGTTATTACTGTCTATTAAATTTCAAATTCAAAGTAATAAACTATGACATCTTGTACATAACAACCATCCGTATTTAATAAAGTGCACACTTGATCAAGTGTCTCCGTGAAGTGTAATAGAGTATTTACTATAGGATAGAGTAAATTGTCTCCCTCATATTACCCAATCAAAATCTGGCATTTTGACATGCAGTATAATAAAATAAAATAACTTATATGGATATTCAATACACACCTACAATAGAAGAGGGGCATTATGTTTACTGATCTATGCGTCCACTGATATTTCACCTGTCCTTTATTCCCTTCGTCTGCCCTATATCAGGTTAAAGTTCTTGATTCAGGTAATTTACAAAGAGGTTGAGGTCACATCAAATTGAGGCTTCGTACATATGTTCATTATGATATGAACTTTTAAAACTATATGCCATATTAGGGTTTTGATCCAAATTTGCTGCTTCACTGAACATGTAAATACGATATTGCTAGCAAGTCATCGTGGCCTATAAACACATATTTTTGTAACAAACAGATTATCAACCAACAGAATATTGGATGGATGCACAGACCAGAAAACATAATCCCCAAATTATTGAAGGCCATGAGGGCATAAAATGTGTGAAACTTCTTTCAGCCTTTGAAAGAAAAGAATATATCAGAATAGGCTATACAACTGCTTTGATAAGCTATATTATACTATCACCACCACCACATGACGGAATCAGATTGTGCTATTTGACAGCTTACCCTTTAGTTTTAGATCCTTTCTTTGGCTTATCTGATGACATAGCTATATCACGACTATCTGTTACCATCTGTTCCTCTGAATCTGTTTGTTGTGTACTTTTTAATGTTTTCTTTATATTTGCAACCTGGAAGACATTGAAAATATTATAAAATACATACTTTTTACAACTAAATTACTCTATATAAGTAAATATGTTGTTTTTTTTTAAAAGAGACATGCATAAGGTAATCTTAAATTTCTGGAAGCACTTAATTATTTACCTCTTGTTCCATTTGCTGTTTAATCCTGATATTATTTTCTTTATTTTGATTGGCCTTTGTTATCTGTAGTTCTATACTTTGTAAAACAGCTTCACATCCATTGCACCTGAAAATAAGATGGGTTTTAGTATGGACTAATCCTATTAGTATTTACCATTTTTAAAGTTTATGGTCAATTTCTCTTTATAAGACACCTTTTTCTTTAGGACAAAATCTGGAATCTATGAAATTTTGCTAAAGTAAATATATGTACTGCCATTTCAATGATCTTGACTTAGTAACTTTGATCTTCAGATATATAGAAAGACCGTAGACAAATGACACAAGAATTTGACTGATAATCTAGACGCTTTGACCAGTTAAATGTTAATTCTCCTAAAAAGTCTAAATATAAGACAGTATGAAATACACTTTAAATGACAGCCTTATATAGCTATAGAGATGGGCATTAAATATATGGTTCAAGTGGTCTTATTCCTCACCAGTCCTGTAAAACATTAATGATCTCTGGTACAGCTTCAGATCTGATGTCACGACCAATGGCATAGTCCACTTCTAGTCTCTGATTCTTCTGATCTAGTTTACCATGTATTATATCTGCATATATCACCTCTATTATTAAATCCTGAAGGAAGACAGTACAATAAAATAGCAATACAATTATACTCAATTTCACTATTTACTATAAACCAACTAATTTTTGACAATATTTTTTTCCAGTTTGGCTCTTTCTAGCAGACTATGCAAAAAATCTTATTCACTAATTTCGATCTCTGTTGATGTATTCATATCCTAGTTAACATGTTCATGATGATTTTTCTACTCGTAATAGTTGAAAAAATAAGTAAGTTGATAATATGTTCTTTGGCAATCCAGCACCAGTAATCATATTTGTATTTCTAGAGCTGTTGTTGTGTGTATTATGTCTTATGTTTCAAGTGAAATAACTTATATGCGGATATAAAAATTTCTGACTATACTGTATGAAACTTTCACCCTTAACCATTCTAGAGTCAGGAAAAATGACCATTCCCCCCTGATCTTTTCAGAAATCAATTTCTCATACTCTTATAGACACATGGTCAATCAGCATAAATTATGTCATTGAACAATCCACTCTTACAGTGACTACATAACATAAGCATCATGACATCAAAAATGTACAGGAAAATTCATAAATGTGAAAATTGTCTATTACAAAATTTTTACCCTCATGCTAAAGATTTTAGCAACAAGACTCTTTTGTAAAATTGCTATTTGAAATCAACGAGAAGAACATTATTGGGTATTCTAGTCATCAGTTGATAAAAACCTCTATCTTCAGTAATAGGAAATACCTCTAAATTTCTTAAATTCTGTATGTCAAGTTCTTGCAATAATACTGAATAAGGAATGTGCTGAAAGAAAAAGACAAAGATTTCTTATAGAATGGTAAATTAATTGATATTATAGTCTCTCATTTAGAAGTACTGTAAATTTGTATGTGCATTTATTATTGCAATTTTATTAAAATGGAACTTAAATATCCAACAATATATGTATCATAGATTTGATATAAAATAACTATTAAAAGCATATCAATTTCAGTGGTTTTGTTATACAGCATGTCTTCATATATCTACTTCGCCAACTTTTGTAATTTTTTTAATATTGTAATATGTATGGAATTGATATAGCATTTTTTTCTTTTAGGCACTTTTACTTTTTTGTTCATCTCTATCTAAATTAGGTAATGTGATTGCTTTACAAAATTGAAAGTATCTATTATTATTTAACATGACAGTAGTATTCTATTTCTAAAATGCAGACAATTAGAAAACATCACAGCTTTTTAGAACACATTATTCAGTTCTTGTAGTGTAAGTTATACAATATGGAACCAATAATACCCAGTAACAATAAGAATATTAAAAAATGCACAATAGATTTCGATGGATCATTTGGTGAAACAAAAACTTCAATTTCTACTACCGGTATACATGTACATACTAGTACTAATTTATAAAAAAAATTCGTAAGGGGTTCCGCGAAACCCTGTGTCTCACCTACGATTGCTGCTGTCAGTGTAAAAGAGTAATGTTGACTTGAAAAGTGAGTCCATTTATCAGTAAAATACAGAATTTAATAAAATTCAAACTTTTTCTTTAGATGCTATTTCTTGGTCTTGGAGATTAGCTTTTATCCAAGTTTCATAACAATCCCTGAAGGTTTACAAACTTATCATGTCAAAAAACTTTAATCCCAGACTGTCTGTAAAGGTTAACTAAAAAACTTATTAGTCCATCTATCAGAAAAATACTGAAAATGAAAATATATTTTCAAAACTTTGCATCAGACATTATCTCTTAATCATAAAAAAGCTTCTGCTAAAGTTTCATAAAATTCTATGTAGGTTTGACAAAGTATTTCATATGTTACAAACTTTAATCCCAGACTATATCTACTTGTTAACTGTAAAATAAAATAAGTTCATTTATCATTAAAATATGGAAAAATGAAAATAAATATTTTCAAAACTTTGCTCTGGATACTGTATTTTGGTCATAAACAAGCTTCTGTCTAAATTTCATAAAATTCCATGAAGGTTTGACAAAGTTATTGATGACTGAAAAACTTTAACCTCAGACTGAATCTGAATGTTAACTGTAAAAAAAAACTAAGTCCATTTATCAGTAAAATATGGAAAATGAAAATAAATATTTTCAAAATTTTGCTCTTAATACTGTATTTTGGTCATAAACAAGCTTCTGTCCAAATTTCATAAAATTCCATGAAGGTTTGACAAAGCTATTGATGCCTAAAAAAACTTTAACCACAGACTGAACCGAAAATTTTTCCATTTATAAAGGGACATAAATCAAGAACAGTAAAATTACACTACCATATTCAAACTTGATCTGTGTTTGGTAGTAAAATGCTTTGTGTATAAGTTTCAGAACATTTAGTTGTGGTAAAGTAAAGATAGTGTGCAGAAACTGCAAATTTGCAAATTTTTCCATTTATAAAGGGACATAACTTGAGAACAGCAAAAGTGATGCCACCCTTATTCAAACTTGATCTGCGTTTGGTGGTTATAAGCATCACATGTATAAGTTTCATGACATTCGGTTGAAGGAAACTAAAATAAGAGAATGGAAACTAATTTTGGGTTGAACAGACAGACAGACATATGAACAGATGTACAGATGGACAAGGGTTTAACTTAATGACCAGACCCCTCCTCCGTGACGGGGGCATAAAAAATAAAAATCTGAAAAAGTTTTAATTATGTTTATCCTAGATTTTTTAGTTGCAGTTAAAGTGTATGTTATATGAAACAACCACAAAAAAATACCTACACTTTAAGCTTGATGAAATTAATACCATATTTATATCCATACAATATCTGATAATGATTTATAAAAAAAATCTCACATTGATGTGTTATTTGTTAGAACCAGGCAATGATAAGGAAATTATTGTATAGCAACAAAATTGATCAAAGTTTTTTACCCAAGCTCTTTTGGACAGACAGACAGACTGAATAACAGAGGGATTCAAGCGGTAACTAGACCTGCTTTTGCTGTTGGCCACACAGGTAAAAAAGTGATGAATAGATAATTACATGGCACTTACCATTTAAACCCATAAAACACATAATTATGGTAAATTGAATGTTTTATGTTTAATGCCATGTCATAGACAAACATATATATTGGGGTTAACACAACAAGAACAAATTATAATAGATATTCCTTTAATATATTGATATTTACCTTTGTTTTTGTTGCTAGTGAAACAATCGTTAATTGTCGCAGCTTTGTCATTTGAGCTGGGGTAAGGTCTGGTAGTTTTCCTTTTCTTTCTGAAAAAAAATGTAGCAGTCAATCATAGAACTTAGGGTTCTACAACAAAAATTTTGAGAAAAAAAAACAAATATGATCAAACTAATATTTTCTCAAAGGGAATGCATTTTGATGGCAATGTATATAAAGCTCCCTTATGCTTGGCTGTCTTCTATCTACAGGAGATTCATGTACTATGTAATTAAAATATTACCAATTTTCCTCCAAGTACATACACTATGAAATAGACAGGATTTCTTATTATGCTCTGAATTGCCAACAGTTTATCAAAAAGAACAAACTCTTTGTTTATCTCCTGATTAGTGAAAAACCATTTTGATTTTGCTGACATTTCCACTACCCTTAATAATTTGGTTTTAGTAAGATAACACTATGGAAGATGTATCTTTTTCATTTTTGGTTCACAATTTTGAAGCAAAATGTCTTATTTGGTAGCAAGTTGCTATAGTGAAAGAATAGTTGATACAATTTTATGTACTTTTAACTATTGTTAACTTACTTGCCAGGGGTAAAACAAAATAATATAAGCATACCTTTAACAACAGTAGAAATTTGTCTTTGTTAGTAAAAGTTTTTATTTTGTTTATCGAAATTATAAGATTTCTCTACATTAGCTTCTACAACTTGTTTGTCAAAAGTAAATGGTGCTAGGAAATAATAGATGCAAGAAAGATATGGGAGATAACTCATTAATGATCCATCATAAGAATGGAAATGGGAGATAACTCAGTATCTTAAACTATTGTTTTTAATTACCTTTATAATCACTGTAGGTACCATAGGCAAATATATTTAACAAATCAAAATATTGAGCATGAGCTCCAGTGGCCAACTGTAAATAAAAAGAATCATATTATTTTGTTATTGTTGATAGCATATACTATTGTGACATCATGGAATCTGACTTATCACTGAGTTTTCACTTGCCATGAGCAACATACCAGGTGCCACTAGTGGAGCAGGATATGATGTCATTCTAAAGCTTCTGAGATCTGAATGGGGTTTGTGTTACTCAGTTTTCAGTTTTTTGTGAGGTGACTGTTGTTTGTTTTTTATTTTTTTTTTCCATTTTGGCCATGGTTTTGTCTGTTTTTCTTTGATTTTATCTTCTACATCTTTTTGAACTAATTAGTATGAATAATGCACGCTTGACCATAGGCCTACCAGCCATGTCTTATAAAATTTCTATTGGGCCTGTAAAATCTTCTGCTTCAGGCCAATAGAATCCATACAAATTTTCCAATAATGAGTGTCAGGGCCTTTGGCTGCAACTTCATAGTGAAGACTTAAGTTTATGTTAATTTTTTTTTCTTTTCTTATTATTATATTTTATCTCGGACTCTTGAATTGAGTGTTCTTTTAAGTCAAAGCTGATGTTTTAATTCTTATCTAAATACTCTTGGAAAGCTTTTCCAGATATCATAATCTGACGATGACTACTGACTTCTTTTAGTGAATTTCTTACATTATAAAACATTCTTCAATTTAAATATGAATAAATTAATTATTTATGCACACAAGAACAAATAATTTTAAAAAGATTACTACTCTGTACCAAACATTTCGCAATTTAAAAAGAAATTTGAGAAATAATACAATAAGGACCATAGACGATTTCTGGTGTTATGAAAGGAACTAGCTTATTTTCTTTGTCTTTTTTAGCAAATGTTTTTCCTGTTGTATTGGTAACGGAGACTGAAGTTTATATACAATGTACTTTGTTGAAATATTGGTTCCTAGGTGTTATCAAAACTCATCAAAAATAATTTAACAGGCTTATAATTTTGTATGCCAGAGGCAGGTTTTATCCACAACAGACTCTTCAGTGGCGCTCGAATCAATACAGTTTGAAGGCCAAATCAAATACGAAGTTGAAAGGCATGAAAAACCTAAAAAGTTGTGCCAAACAATGAATAAGGCTAAGGCAATTTATACCAAGTGGTATAAAATAAGAGTGCTGACTGTGCTCTATGATATGTTTAAATGTTCTAAGAAGTCTTCAATTTAAATGTTTACTGAAAAATTTGTGTATGCCCCATGAAGTAAGCTGCTGAGGTATATAGTGTTGCCCATGGCCTTCATACAGTTCTTTATAAATCTTTTAACTGAAGATATTAATCTGCTTTTTTGGTATACAAGTGTAATATGATGAATATTTACCAATTTTTTGCCAGAAAGATGCAGGGGATGAGGGGCAATCATTTTGAACTGACACGGCTAGTTGGAAGTATTCTTTCTTGTTTATTGAATGTTTCATATGTTTTCTTGTCATTATTATACACTACAGCTGATGTGGATTCTGTCATTTCCATCCGTTCATGTTGGGCATTGGCAAATCTTTTTGATGTACCCTGTGCTCTCTCTTTAGAATAGACATTTCATTTTTTTGTCTTTTAATCATAAGAATTGATAATACAATACCTTGGAAAAATAATATAAACTATTGTATTCAATGTTTGTAAAAAATATTAGGCTGAATTTGAGTGGTCTTTCCACAGTGGATAGGTGGAAAGATAAACTCAACTTAAATGGTGTACATGTACGTTACGGTTACATGTACCTAGAAGAAAGGCCACAAAGGATTGATTTGATTTCAGTCTACTGTGTTAAAGTTTACATGTGACTGTTTAAAATCACCGAAAAAATTAAGCTAATCACTGAAAGTGAAAACCCTTAACCTTTGAATAAATATATATTTCAACCATTACCATGACTGCAATCCAACATTTGAGATTAAATATTTTTTATAATAAGAAATCCATTTTATATTTTGTATTTCTACTTACTTCTTTAATATTTGGCATATCCAATAGTTCTCCAAATACATATACACCAGGGGCCTCTAGTGCCTGTTTTATCAGTTCCAGAGCTGCAGCACCTTTAGCTGTTTTAGCCAGTAATACAAACTGTTCTAAAGGATTACTACTGGACTTTTCTGTCATTTTGTCTAAAAAAAAAACATAAAATAGCACAGATAGAGTAAACCAACTTCATAGTTTGACATACATCTAGAAGTTGTTAATACAGGTTGGTTGAAAACTGAACTTTAAAGCAAAAGAGATGATTTCAATTTTATTATTGTAATCTTTCTAGTTCCGTGTAGCAACATTCCAGCAGCATCTGCATATGGAGTATTTGTTTTTTATCTGATATGATTATCACAGGTATGTGTTTTCTATCAGGATTTTCTTGATAGAGGGTTGCTGCTTCCTGATAGTAAAGTTGAATTCTTTCAAACTCAAGTTTAACCAACATCATCATGATTTTGTTGAACCTTATGGATTACATTCATTTGTATCTTTTTCACCTATGACTCAGTATGAGGGCAAGGCTATACATGACAACATGTATGTTCCACTAGTTGAATCTTATGTATTACATTTATTTGTATCTTTTTTCACCTATTAGACTTTCACGACTTTTCATGACAACATATATGTTCCACTTGTAGGAATCCGGGTCCGTTCGCCCTGATTCACGTTCACCCTAGTACCTGTTCCCCCAGGGTCCATTCGTCCTGATTTTTATTGTTGTCTAGTTACTTTATTTTTTATAATTTGAACAGAGTATGTTAAAGTTTTTTTTAAAATTCGCCAAATATTTGTATTACTGCAACCAAATATTTATTTTCCTTTGATTTGCATAGTAGAATACTATGTATTTATCTTTATTGATATTTGTTAACAATTTTAATAATTCTAGTCAGTCAATTTATGCAGTATAATAATAAATGAACTTTTATATCCTTTTCATGTTTAACAATTTGTACATCATTGTTTTTTACTCATTCCAAGCTGACTAGTTTATCAAAACAAAATGTTGTTTTGTATTATTAATCCATCAAAGACAATTATTACAACAATCAGTGAGAATTGTTATAATGATGAACAATTAATGCTCCAAAACACGCCATCAGTTTTAAATATTTCCATGAATTTCAAAACCCAGGGCGAACATGTCATCAGGGTGAGCGGACCCGATACCCACTTGTTGAAGCCACAATCTAGTCTTTCGTTCCTTTATTGTGCCAATTTGTGGTACATATATCATCAAATGTAATTTATCCATAAATATTTACTTGCCATGAGCAGCATCACAGATGCCACTACAGAAGCACAACTGCAGCACCTGAGTTCCCTACTAGTGTTGTTTTAAAGGAGTGGTTGTTGGTTTTATTGACTATTGTGATATTTAATTTTTTTTAATGTCTGTATTATCTTCCTTAAACAGTCTGAGTCAATTATATTCTCTGTCCTGGAACATCTTAAGTTCATTAATGCTTTCACACCTGTCTTAGGATTAGAGAATTTACATGTACCCATGTTTTAAGTATGGTTTGACAAGAGATGTTTACAAATCAGCCATGCTTAAAGGAACGGATTTGAACAAAATAAACATAGCCTACCAAAACGTCATTTCTATGACTATGTAAATGTCGTCATTTTTCATTGTAATCATGATAATGCGAAATTTTTGTATACATATATTGACTATGCATTTTTTTTTCTTTTAAAGACGTGTTTACCTGATTAAGTAGAAAAAAACGAGAAAAAAACTGCCAAAGTGACAAGAGTCAGGGGACGTAACTCTTGAGTTGAACTAAAAGTTGAAACTTTTCTGGTATTGATCAGTATTTCCGTTCAACGTCCTTACGATGATCATGTGAAAATAGATTCTCATGATAGATCTTTCTGACGTTTAAATAAAAGTCATTGCGCTCTGACACAAACATTTAATTGTAATATATGTCTCTGGTCTTAATAAATTTTCCATTACAATATCCCTTCAGAAAGTCAATATTTTCTTTATGATGCAAGAATTTACTTTTTATCTCATAATCTCTATCTGTCCAAGTTGTATCTGCATTTATATTTCGACGCATTTACTCGACGATTTAATCATGTGTATTTTTATAATGATACACCAATATGTTTATCGTGACACAAGTAGCAATTTCACTGAGTAATGTTGTATGTCAAAATACACCGTCAGCAAACAGACTTAGTTCAATGATAGATTTGTAGATTTGCGCTGAGACTACTATAACATGTGTTATAGTAGTCTCAAAATTGCGCCATAACCGGTTATTTCCTTATATGTCCTTATTTGTAATAGCGTTATTTTGTCACCTACATTTTTGCTATATATTTCATATAAACTACGCTTTTTCGACAAATTATTATGGTGTCATTTCATGTTTGATTTTAATTAACTTAATTAGTACCAATAGAAGATGAATTTTCACACCGGGATTTATATTTGTATATATTTTTTATTGTAAAGCGTTCTCCTTTTCTGGTAATATAAACACAAGTATTATTATTTGTCCAGAAATTTTCTTTATATTTCAATTAAATGGAAATGAAAAAAATAATACATGGTCACAGAAGGAGAAAGTAAAAAATTATGAAAAAAAACCAAATCATAGCATTACTCCAGACAACATGACAATTCTGCGTTTTCTACACATTCATGTTCTGTCCCCTCTGGTCATCATGACCAAATCACACAGACGAGGTCACAAAAGTTTTATTACCGGGTAACTTGAGACCCGGTTTAATTAGTCACGTCACAATGGTGTAAATCTGATAATGGATTCTCATTGGTAAATATTAGCTTATTCCGTATGAAGTAAAGGCTTTCTTAACGTCTGATTGGGTAATATTGGGGTGCATCTATTATATATGAGCGTATCCGTAAGTGAGGCCGGAAAGAAATCACGATAGTAGGTCATGAAAATGACAATGAAGTGTTCATTCAAGTTGATAGGGAAGTGTTGAATCGATATTTCATTGCCGCAAGGTGAAACGCAAAAGTGTTTAAAATTAATAGAGTTTTGTTCTGTGTTTATTATTCAATCGTGTTTGTATCATTTATAAATATTACTTTTTTAACTTTCGTTTTCATAATTAACTTGTTGATGTGTATTAGATCAGTTCCATCAATAATATTACAGTTATCACTCATGCGTATCGTTATACAGGATAATAATATTACACGTTTAATGATATCTATAAATAGCCGAAGCATTAGCGATTATGTTATGTATAAAATGCACACGTAGTGATTTAACTAAGTTACGCTATATTAAGAAACACACCGTGTCGTGAGATACGGCGCGACATGTGAAAAAACACCCCCTGTTTAATCTTATTTTCACCAAAAAGTATACAGATCGTTTGACCATCATAAGAAACAACTATGTTAAGTTTCATGAAATTTGGATAAGTCGTTCTCAAGTTACGGTGCGACATGTAGACGCCGGACAGACGGACAGACAGACAGGCGGACGCCGGACATTTGTATACCATAATACGTCCCGTCAAAATTTTGACGGGCGTATAAAAACCGGCAAGAGTTTTGGAAAAGCTATTACTTGTTTTATCATCAATCAGAAGAAACCGGAGAAAAGTCTGATATAATTGCTTATTGAAGTAATAGGGCATAATTGCATATTTTCCTGTCTAATAGAAATATCTATTCATTTCATCTTTTCCACCCCTTCTGAATAACCAATAGATTCTTATTTCAAAATTTTGAATTATTCGAAATACTAAGGAATAGATTACCTTAGCTTTTGAATTATTCGAAATCCCTACGAGATGCTTTATTGTTACAGAATACGTATCTTGTAAAAATAGTGTTTAGTAAAGGTTAATTATACAGCTGATCTATTTGAAGTTGTCCTTGATCTGATAAGCAAACAACAATCAGTCAATCGGTGTTGTAAATTGATGGTTTTGATCCTTTTTTTTTGTGTTTGATGCTGCTTTTTTTAAAGCAAGTTACAACTCCTTTGGGAGAGAGCGAGGGGAACTTGCACGGGCGTCATACGGCCCCAGCGAATCATACAAAGTCCGTCAGACATCTGAACAACACTGGACTACGACAAACACAACATTGTATAACACATGTCGAATAATCTACTTAAAATGAATGAGTTTTGAATGAATTAAACAAAGACCAAAGTTTCAAAATAATAACAATATACATTCAGGAATTATTACATAAGACAGCAACTGACGGGATTCCTGACCTGGAACAGGCACTTGAATGTATGTCTCAAGTATTTCTGTCAATGCATATGTTGAATAAGGCATCGCTAATCAAATCCAAATAAATTATTTAGAAAATTTTTGGGACGATTTTAAGCTTTGCCCCATGGTGTAGCTGCGAAAACGTAGCTCTTAAGGTCCTTTTGATGATTTTGATATTTGCGGACCATAGAAAAAAATTCAAAGGACAATAGAGCTACGTTTTCGCAGCTACCCATGGTGTTGAAGGCAATAATATTAAATTTTAACCTTCCTAAAGTAACAATCTGATTATCGTACATTATACTTAGGTTAAAATAATTTTATCTAGGTAAATATAGATTAACTGAGATAAAAATAATTAAAATCTATTTCTACCTAGGTAAACATAATTTAAAGGTAAAACATGATTTTACCAAAATGAAAATATAATTGTACTTATAAAGTAAAAATTATTAATTCTAAGTATGGTTTTAAACCGTCACTCAAAGCGACATGGCTTCTATCTGGGTACTAGTACATATACGTCTGCATTTCAATATAATCGTTGTGGCATTCATTTCTTATCAAATAATTATCAAAAATATACCAAAACCTTAACTTTGCAGATGGCGAACATAAGAAGATCGAGGTATTCTATTCAGGTTGGATTGGTCTTATTGGCGATATTCTTGATATCGTGGTTCATGTACAAAGTCTAACCAGGACTCAGAAGATCAGGTATGAGTAAAGATATGTATATAAATTATGTACCAAGTCTCACCAAGACTCAGAAGATCAGGTATAAGTAAAGATATGTAGATAAATTAAGTACAAACACTCACCAGGACGCAGAGGATCAGGTATACAATACAATACAATACAAGGTATAAGTAAAGATATGTACATAAATTCTTGTACAAAGAATCACCAGGAATTAAAAGATCAGGTATATAAATTGATTTCAAGTCATAATCAAGATGGACAAAACCACTATCTAACGTTAAAATATTACGCTTGAATAATACGACAGGGTTATATTGCCTGATTTGTCCTAGGGAATAGCCACCCCCCCCCCCCCCCCCCCCTTCCCCAAGTGGTTGTGAGCTATTGTTCTGATCTAGGAACAAGTAGTTGTGTAAATACACAACGGCTAAATAGTATGTTCCAGGGAGTGTAGTTCAACAAGAAGTATAGATGTTTATAGGTTAGATATAGAATTTAATTTTGCTGATAAACGAGGGTCTGGATTGGGTTCTCAGAAAAGAGAATAATCGACAAAAAAAATGAAGAATAGAGATAAATAGGCAAACAAATATAAAAGAGTACGTAATCATGTGGTGCTTTAACATAGAGAATAGAGAATAATGGACAATAATTAAGAATAGATGATAAATTGCCATAACAATTAACGAATACAGAACGAAGACAGCTCCTCTAGACCCGCAAGACAATGTGTACCAACACTCCACTACAACACTCATTGTGTTTGTCAAATAAGTTCGATACATACATGAAGTAATGATAAGTCATTCATACGACGATTTTTATGAAAATGGAAATGAACGCTTTATAAAAATTATTTTGGTTTTGAGACGGGATGTAACATCTAACACGAAGTATACCATTAATACTTTACTAATATAATAACGCTATAAGAAACAAGTATTTCAATAATTTGTGTATCAATGGGACAAATCATATGAAAAATCGAAACTAAATTGTAGACTTATGATTACTGACGTTAAAGCTGTTTACAAAACTATTATGCATTGTTCAGAATATCAGATGGCAACTGCAAAATTTGTTACTATATATATATAAAAATATTAATTTTCGCGAACCATTTAGGTCACGGAAATTCCATTTTTTGCCATCAGTAAGGAGAGTTGTACAAATAATGTGAATACACAGAACCCCGATCCAATTCATCTTTTGCTAAAAATATTTATCATTTTCTGTTTTATATCTCCTAACATCATTCCATTTTTCTCTAATTTCGATTAAAATATGCCAAAACCTGCATAAGATAAGATAAGATAAGAAAACTTTATTTTGATTCGGCATAAGTTAAAAGACACAACACAAGCTCTAAGGAGCTTTTGACCGAATATAAAAACATATACATAACATAAAAACAGTCTAATTTGACATATAAAACAACCTGTTATACGAAGTTAAATCTCACTTACATAGCATGCAATAAAAATTTAGCAACAAATTTAAAATGAAATAAAACATGCTAGACCAGAGCAAACAAAAGCAACATAAATAATAAACATCTCAAGAATTATCTGCAAGCAGAACATCGACATTCCAAACCATTCCAGGACTGAACAAGACTTTTAAAATGTGAAAAACTATTTTCAGTCCTGAAATGGTTTGGAAGGCTGTTCCATAAAGTAGCAGCATCAAATTTGAAAGATTTTTTACCGTAACGGGTTGACTTTACCTGTGGAACATCTAGAATATTTACATACCGGAAAGAATACTTAGATTTTTTGACACTCACCAAATTTTGTAAGCACACAGGAGCTATATTATTTATAATCTTAAAAGTTTCTAGAGCCATTGTTCTAATCCGTCTAATCTGCAAGGAGGGCACCTTA